GGTGTAGTTAGAAAACGAATATTATAGTAATTATTATTTACTCGAGAGATAGTGTTTTCTTTTCTTTTTTTGTTCTTTCTTTTTATCGAGAATGTTCTCTCCGCTTCTTTTCCTTCCTTTCTTTCTTTCTCTTTACACATAGTTTAATATTTCGTTTATGATGTCTATCGAATGGTTATTATACGTATGGTTTGTTGGTTATTCATTGATGAAATAAGACGAGAAAGCTCGAATCAGATGACTGTAAGTTTAGAAAAATATGTCTCCTTGATATGGGACAACACGAACGAGATGTCAAGTTTTCCGTGAATATACGTTATATTAATATTTATGTGGATACATTAGACTAAAGCGAATAGAATTTAACTAGTGAATTAATTATTATATAACAATTTACAAATAGATTTACAATTTTTCAATTATTATTTACAGATTATTGAAAGTGCCTACGAATATGAGGCAATGCAAGCTCAATCGAATGAAAACAAATATTTAATAAATACAACGTGAAGTAGGCAACTACCATTTCGACAATTGTTTTGCTAATAATTTTATCGTAACTCTTAAGAGCTTCTCCTTTCCAAGTTGCACGCAACATATTTACATATAAATCTCTACAATGTCAGGCAATTAAACTAATATTTTATGATATGTCTTTATTATATTATTATATCGTTTCACAATTATAGTCTTACTCATAAATGGTGTTTCAATGTTACTACGCTGTGTCAATAAGAGACGACTTTAACGATAATTTGAAGAATAAAATCAGAGTTATACCTATATATATATATATATTTATTTATTTATGTACAATACGTAATATAAATTTGCGAGGAAAGTTTTATTTATTCATCGGTGTAATTTCTAAAGTTTTAAATTGATTTTATAATACTCATTATCAGAATTTTTATACGCATTTCGACGTCTTTTACATTTTTCTATCATCATACTTCACACACTATATCGAATAATGATAGAAAAGAATGAACGTAATTGTTTTTTCATGAAAATTTTACGTAGAGATAGAGCACCTATGAGTAAGACTTTAAGACTTTAACAATTCATTTTGGCTTCTTTTTGTTTAAATTTGTATAAACATTTAAACTAATTACCGATAATAATTATTTATAATAATTAGTAATTCTCGTAATCTTTTTATACAATTTTCATCTCGTACGCTTCAACGTAATACTTTTACGGTTTCTATCTTTTATTTTAGCTTGTTAACAAGCCCACCTAAAAAATGATCCTCGATCGCCGTTACGAGAATCATTTCGCAAAATAAAGAAAATAATATGCGCTTGTATGCACTTTTAATCATTTTTTGCTTCAACGTATCGATAAGACGTAACCCGATCATTCGCATTTCTTAAAAAATAAATTAATTAATCACCGTTTGTTCGCCAAATCGTTTTACAAATAAGCGAACTTTTTTTTCTTACCAACAGTATTTTATTATGTAGTTTTTAAAAAATTAATGTAAATCATACATAAGAATGTTGAATAATAATATACGAGAGTAATACATATAATACAATAGAATGATTATGCTCGTTCGATGTAACTGTATTCATGGAATGTGCAAAGTTAAATATATTATATTAATTATCGTTTTCGTTTGAAATTTCTTCACATTTGCTTATCGCTAATCTTGAAATTCATAGGACTTGTTAAAATATATAGTTTGTTTTTCATTAAGAAACGGCAGAGACAGACGCTGCTTTTTAAAACGTACTTGGCACACAGATTTCTGTATTTTTTTTTCAGTTTTGTTTATATACGCGGAAGGACCGAGACATAAAATTTCTCTTAAAGCTCTTTCCGAACAAATAAGAGAAAATTTCAAGAATTTCACGAGCCGCAAATGAAAACTCTTTCTCCTTTAGATAAATTCATCTTTTAGGATAATCATAATTACATGATTCAAACATCCACTCACGTAACATTATTCTTTTCTCGTTTCTTCCTTATTTTTGTTTCTCTTGCAAAATCATTTTCTCATCATTTTTTATATGAAGATATATAAAATATGCAAATATTTATATGAATAATTGCGAGAATTATGAGTTCGTTTATATGCGACATTTTTTGTCTTTGCGATAGAAAACAGAAAGTGGTTGAAAATTTCGTGTTAATCGTGACGTGTTGTCAAGGCTTTTAGGTGTACTCCATAATGATGAGATAATGATGATAATGATGATAATGATAATGACGATGATAATAAATACCAATTATAATAATAATAATACTAATAATAAGCCCTGCGTGAAACCAGGGTAAGAACAAAGTAGCCCCACAGTAATCTCTACTGGTCATAAAAGGCGACCGAAAAAGAAAACCCATTAAACTGGTAAGAAAAAAATGTCTCCGAAAATAGAGAGATTAAATAATAATAATAATTATTATTATAACAATAGTTATATCATTTGAGAAACATATTGCAATATGACTTGATTACCCTGTTTTTATTATTTATAGAATTCCTTCCTCAGTTTTTATAGAGCATCCCCTTCAAACCAAACGAATATGTGAGAATGTACCGATTACTGCATAAGTTATCCTCTCTTATCCCATTACAACGAACAGATTGTTATTATACAATTTGTGACAGCTAAATCGGATTGTGTCGATCCGACTTGATATTATTATTATAATTGTTATTATTATTATCATCAAATTACAGTAAAAAACGTGTTTTTTCTATCACTATACGTGAAAGATCATTTATTTTTGGATCAAATGGAACGTGGACCATATTTTCGTAATTACCGAATTTCTGCTGCAAGTGAAAAATTCGCCGAGGGAAAATAAAACAGTAATAAAAATAATGAAATGTAATTTTACTTAATATATCAATGGTCGATAATATTTTTGTTCAATTATTAGAATGACGTCTTTTAGAAATCGTTCGTCATGACAACAAGACGAGCTAACGATTTCGTGGTCCGGAATTGGTGAGAAAACGATCGCTCAATGCTCGAAATGGAAAGCAAATAAATTACCAAACTAGAATTCGGTCCATGCTGTCGAACAAATATCCGCGATATGAGTATAAAGGAAAAGTGGGTCGGACAAATTACGGAGTCCTTTAAGCGTGTATGCACGTTCATGAAAGGATTGGCTAACAAATAATCTCGATTTCGGTTCGGACTATCGATTTGTCATATCGTCGCGAACGAATGCATACGAAAATAACACGTTTAGTCGTAGAGAAGTAAATCTATATCTATATGATATCAATTAATTCGAATCGGAGTATCGTTCGTTAATAAACGAACGAGAGAGAAAGACAAATAAAATAATAAGGGAAGGAAGGAAGATAAACAACAAATACAAAAAATAACTATAATCATGATGATGATGATGATGATAATAATAATAATAATAATAATAATAATAATAATAATAATAATAATAATAATAATAAAGAATCGCGACTAGTTACTATATTGCACTAAAGTTTTTTATCGATTATCTAATCGAAAGTTAATTGGACTATTATCCCTCTAGAAAATACTTATCCTTTTACTTATTTACACGTTTTTTTTAAAAATGATTACCACTTGTCATCCTTTTTTCTCTCTTCCTTTCTCTCTCTTCCTTTCTCTCTCTCTCTCTCTCTTTCTCACAATCTATCTCTCTTTTTCATGCACCCTTTCTCTCTCATTCTCCCTCTCTCTTTTTCTATCTTGTGTCTTTGTTCAGCTATTACACAACGACTCACGTATTAAGTTCTTAGTATGATACTTTTCCTCGTGGTATTGCTCGATGCACGAGATAACTTTTAAGCAACAGTCGAGCCACTGTCCACTGATTGGTCTTATCGCTTTCTTTTTTCAAAGTCGTTAGAATGGAGTGTCAACGAGTATCGATCGTTTGTATCGTTTGAAACGTGCCCTTATGTGTCGATTCCGTTGTCGATAGGTGGACAGCGTAATTTACCGAGAAGAAAATATATATATATTTATTTATATATATATATAGATGCATGTATGTATTTATGTGTATATTCGTGTATACAGAAAACGGGATCATCTTCATGAAATTCGAATCGGCTAATTCCTCGATTTTCATTTCCTTTGCGATCGTCTGAGACGATTTCGAAAGATTTTCGACGAGTCTTGTTTTGAGAATTTTGTGTATGCTACGTACAAATGTATATTCATGTATATGTGTATATGCGTGTAAGTATGTATATATGTAAATAGTATATGCACATTCTTTTAGAGAATAGGAAGTAAATAGTAAAAAGAGAGAGAGACGATCGTTTTCCGATGTAAATTATTTACGATTCCTGATTAGACGAAAAGGGGGAAATAATAGAAATCGATCGAATATAATCGATCATCGTACTCGTCGATTTTACCTTCGATCGAACGTCCACGTACGATCGCGGAAAATACGAGGAACTTTAATATGCGTGGTCGCTCTTTCTTATTATCTCTCATTCTCTTTTTTTTTTTTTTTTTTTTTGTTTTTATTTAATTCGACGACTAATGCTACTGTGTATTGCTTTAATATGATATGATACAGTCTTTTCACTGATTGTCCAACATCACTACGTAAAACATATTCTCCTATTTTTGTTCTTTTCCTTTTTATCAATTTGTCTTTCAGACTCGCAGATTCTCTCCCAATCATTTTTTCTTTCGCACATTCATTTTCTCTCTCTGACTCTCGCGTACACACATACATACACACACACACACACACACACACACACACACACACACACACGTTCTCTTTTTATATTTCTCTCTCTCTCTCTCTCTCTCTCTCTCTCTCTCTTTCTCTCCCTCTTTCACTCTCTCTCTCTCTCGTTCTTTCTCTTACTCTCTCTCTCTCTCTCTCTTACTCTCTTTCTTTCTAGCTTTCTTTCCGTTCACTTCTTTACAACACTTCACTGAGCGTCATTATTAGGATTAATATCACTTTTTGTTTACTTCGCCGCTACGTGAACGCGCGACGATTTTATAACAATACATATGTACTTTATATTTTTTTTTTTTTTTATGTTTCGAATTGTACTTTCCGAGACGCGTCTTATTTCCGTTTCCGCTCTTTTTGTTTCTTGATTTTTCGATCGATCGATTGATTAATTAATTATTCAAGAGAGGATTCTCTCGCGTGTGTCTATGTTTTTATCGTAAAAAAGAAAAAGAAAAAAAAAGGAAAAAAAAACTGAAGCAGTCAGTACGTAAAGATTCGATTCGTTGATGGGGCGACACATTTTGCTCGAGAGAGGAGGCGTATACGATGACGGCGAAAGGGGTAAAACGAGCTCGTAAAACGTTTTATCGTGGGATCGCTTCGTAAAATCGAAGTGTTCGCTGTTCCGGTTGTTATAGAGAACGGAGATTTTTTTCAAGAGTTTTTATTTACTTTGCCGATTATGAGATAGGAAGGTAATATTGAAATAGAAAATAGAAGAGAAAAATAAATATAAAAGGTAAATGGTAAAAAAAAAACGAAGACAAGAGAAAATCCTCCCTGCTGTTTAAACAGAGCCAAACTAGATCGTCCTTTAATCGACACACCGGAACACGGTAGGTTCGTTCAATGTCACAACGCGTCGAGAGAGACCGTCTAATGCGGCTTTTCGTAGCCACTTATCGATATCAGCCTGCGACAGTGTAACTGACGATAGCTGATCATTGTACCAGATGGCCACAGTATCAAGCCGTAAAAATTTCGGGCCGTTTTATCGAGACACATTTTAGAAAAAAAGAAGAAGAGGAGGAAGGAGGAGAAGGAGATCAGGATAAAGAAAATAGATGACGAAGGTATTTGTATCTGAATCTTCACGGCCAACCCTGAAATTCGGTCAGGGGTTCGGGTTTCGGCTCGAGACTGGGCAACTGGTAGGGTCAGTTCTGCTGTCACAAGCCACCCTCGGGTCAATGCTGAGCAGCAAACTTCATCCTCTTCTGCTTTTGCCGTTGATTACAAAACCAGACCCTGACGACGTTCTTCTTAAGATCGAGTTTCTCCGCGATCGCAGCGATTTTCTCACCGGATGGTCTCGGTTGTACCGCGAAGTATGCTTCTAATGAGCGTTTTTCCGGCGCGGCAATGCTAGTCCTCTTTCGCTTTTTTTCACCGGCTGGTAAGACCGATGGTGCGTCTGGATCACGTCTTTTATTTTTTGCCTGTGCTTCGGCTTCTTCCAGCCAGGCTTGAAGTATCGGTTTAAGTGCTATCATGTTGTTATGGGAGAGTGTAAGTGACTCAAAGCGACATATCGTCGATTGGGATAATGCACCCACACCTGGTAACTTCAAATTCGCTAAAGCCTTGCCTACGTCAGCTTGTGTTACGCCCAATTTGATACGTCTCTGCTTGAAACGTTCCGCGAACGCTTCCAATTCTCGTGGATCCGTATCAGCGTCAGGATGAAGACCGGCTGCTGCTGCCGCCGCTGCTGCTGCTGCCATTGCTGGATGATGATGAGCTGGATGTGGTACGCTTCCACCTCCACCACCGAGGTTACCATGATGATGGTGATGTCCCATCATCCCATTCATTCCACCGTACACCGAAGGTCCATGTATACCTGCATGATGACCTGGACCACCACCAGCTCCCTCAGACATTGGTGTCAACGTTGTCATCGAGTTTGCTGGGTCCAACATATCCAAACTTTCCATTCCAGGGTGACTCATCTGCAACAGATAATTTACGTACTTTTAATTCGCGTTCCTTCATACCCGATACTACCTAAATACGTTACGGCTCGCGTCGTTATTCTTAGTGGCCTTTCTCTTTTATTTATTTTTCTTTTTTTGATTTGATTTTCTTTTGAGAAAGTTCACCAAGTGCTCCGACGGTTGCCGTTTTTATATAATTTTGTGTAGGTTTATCAAAATATCAGGATGCGATTTGAAATATAAGTATTGAAGGTTGATATAAAAAGGGCTGCTATTTCATATTAATTCTAATGTTTTCTAATATATGCAATTAAAATATATATATTTAATTAATGCAACCACAACAATATAAATCGACTTTTACTTGTAGATTACTGTTACGCTATTTCGATCTCTTTTCACTCTCACTCTCTCTCTCTCTTTCTCTCTCTCTCTCTCTCTCTCATCTACATATCAATCTCTCTAGTTATCCATATTATCTATATTTTCTATATTCTGACTCACATACTCTTCTGCTCATTCTCAAACTCATGCTATCTACCGAATTTCTCACACATACAACTCGTTACACACTCAAGACATTTATTTCTAACAATAAGATACGTTCGAATTTTGTTCTATTTCTTCAATGATCTGTAAATAGATGTTCAAGAATGGAAAGTATCAAAGGGGGCGATCGATCCAAGTACTATCCCAACTCGTTTTCGTTTTGACCGTTTAATAAAATCAGTTGAATTAAAAAAGATTTGGCGGGAAATCGAAAGTAATATTAAACTTATTACGTTTAATTTGTAGGAAGAATAAGTAGAAACAACGCTTTTCTCGATTTATGATTTTATTATTTTACATCTTAATCGTTATTTGTTAATTAAAACTTCATGATTAATCGTGAAAAATAATATTAAATTCATTATTTTTAACCTCAAAATTCAAATTAAACCGGATTATTTTTAATACGAAATTAAAAATATATTCCTAAACACGAATAAAAATGATTATGTTAGGTGATACATCTAGCATTAACTATGAATTTTTTCGAATAAAAAGATGGATATTTGATAGGATAAATAAGTTATGCATCACGATCGGATCTATTCATAGTATAAATGATTAATATTATCGGATTATTTAGACTATTTGCAACTATGTTCACGATTGCTTGTATCATATGGTTGTAGCTTTAAATTTTCAAACTATTAATAAATAATTAAAGGACCGTGCTTTTGTATACATGCTTCGATTTCTGACGCGTCAAACGATCGTGAAAGTCCCCGTTAGTATCTTAAACATTTTTATTAGTCTTCGTCTCGTGAGTTATCTTCGTTAACGAGATAAATAAATAAAACTCTAGCTAAAGAAAAATGACAGCGATAGTAAAAGGAAGGTCACAGTTAAAATTTGCGCAAACGAATTATCTCAATATCTCGTAATAAAGAAGAAATATCGATATCGTCTCCACATGAAACTTCTGTCAAAATTAACTATCGTCACTAGGAGGTCACGATACAGATGAAAAAAGAAAAAAATCAGCGTAAAATGCCAAAATAACGTTGTCCGGAGACGACGGCCTTTCGAGGAATCGATTGTTACGAGTCTGCGCGTGTCGATTTACGAGCGTATTATTAGTTGAATGATATCAAAAGCATTTTCTCTTACTAACCGACAAATTTTTATGTTGGATCGCGTATAAACGATCTAATGTTTTTTTTTTTTTCCAAAACATAAGACAGAAAAAAAATAGTGAGAAAGATAAATTGTTATGCAATTTTTACTTAAAAGTCATTTTAACAAATTTAACGTGGTAGACGCGTACTTAAATTATTTACATTTTTATAACTGTATTCATGAAAAAAAAAAAAGAAAGAAAGTAAAGAAAACAAATGCATTTATACGTTTATATATAAAAGAAATAGAGAGAGAGAGAAAGAGAGAAGGAGGAAGAAAGAAGAAAGAATAAACAGGTACATGAATAACGAGAGAATGAGAAAGAGTGGGAAGTGTCTTGGAGGGAAAAGAAGAGAAAATGTATACAAGGCAGCTCACACAATTATGCAGCACGTGCCACGAGCGACGTCACAGCGCAGCAAGCGCGACCCCTTACAAATTATTTATGAGCTCCCTTCATATTTTTCACCGCTCTGAGTGGCGCTACCACCCTTGTGAGTAGCACCTCGCATAAGGCCTTCTTCCTCTTTCTCTTCCTCTTATTTTCCTTCTTCTTCTTCTTCTTAGTTCTGTATTGCTAAGCTTCTTTGGAATTTTGTACCAATGATTTTTGTTTTTTTTTCTTCTCTTTTAGCATACATCTCGTGTAATCAAATGATCCTCGAACCGTATTTTTAACTTTTCGAAATATTTCTCATTTGGTTGTATTTTAAAAACAATACGTTCTTATTATAGAATAAAATATTAATCTGTGCCTTTATATAAAATTATCTATTCATCATTAAAGCTAATATAATTTACATACTATAGTGTAAATTTGATATTAATCATTTGTGGAGAGAATATTTAATATGAAATTCGTTAATATTATTTAAATAAATCTTTTTTTTTTGCAATGGTACTGGTAACATTTACCATTTAAAATATTGGTGTTTATCAAAACATATTTGATGAATTTCTTTTTTACACAAATTAGATGAAAACTTTTTTTCTTAACAGAGATTAAGAATAGCACTTTCGCGTCACTTGAATCTTTTCCCATCTCATACAGAAAGCGCTATTGCGCTGTTCGGCTTTCTTCGACCGTGTTTCTTTTTTAAATCTCTGATACTCAAAAGGTTAAAATCTGTGTTTTTTTTACAATGCTCATAGTAATGCGTTCTTATCTTTTTCTGTACTTTAAAAACCAATGTTCTGTTAGTCGTATTGTTCTATCGAATCTAATATCTACAGATCAAATTTCAATTTCATACCTTAACTACTCGACTCCCGTGAATTCTTATATTACCTAATTAAAGTATGTAATTCTGCCTTCTTTCATATTTAAACAGATCAGTATAATTATTTCAGAATTTAACCTATCATTTCACAAATTAACGGACTTGACAAAGTAACGCCAAGATATATACATATCTATGTGAATCGAATCCAAAGTGTCTTCAGTTGTTAAGTCGAGATAAATTGGGCAAGAATAAGGTCGGTTCGGTATCGTTGTGTAAACGGTAGCACTCTGCGGCCTACTTTTACCTTCCAGGGATACGAGCGAAGAATAGAAAATTCAAATATCCTGCTCAGATATGAAAAGGATAAAGTACTTTTAATGGATATTCTCGTCCGGTAAGATAAAACGATGAACACGAAGTGGGGAGCGAGCGGGATAATTCTATAGCTGACTTGCTCGTCATAAAAGTTAGCGCAAGTGTGGTGCACTCGCGCGAACACAAGCGAACGACCGAATCGGCTTTGCAAAAAGGTGAACGTGAGACCAGATATAACTGTCTTTCTTTCTCTCTCTTTCTCTTTCTATCTTTTTGCATATACCAACGAAAAAATTACTTTCATTGAATAAATATTAACAAACACACATTATTAATATTAATGCTATTATTAATATTTCTATTTTTTTTGTTTATGTCATTATTATTTCATTGAACGCTTAGTGGCCAATAACCATAATTTAATTAGCGAACGCACCTGCTTCATTCTACCCTTTTCTTTTTCGTCTTAGAATGGATGAATAAATTTTGCGTGAAAGCTACAAAATTCCTTCTCATGTTAGTCCTAAAATAAATGCTATTTTTTTTTTTTATATTTGTTGAAATTTAAAAAAAAGAGGATTATATTAATCATAATCATAACCGCGTAAACGAAGCAAAAATTGGCCAAATAATGTTGCCTAATTCTAAAACAATGCTGTAAATTCTTTGAAAAAAATTGAAATATATGGTTTTTTTTATTAAAAATGAATCGTTTATTCTAGCGATTGTGCTCATTGAAAAATTAATTTATAATGCAGTGTTTATAATTTGTAATTACAGACATATATTTCTTCTCTCAAGGCTTTTCTTATTTTCACCCTCGAAACACTATGACGAGAAGTATCGTGATGAGTGCTCGTTCGCAAACGTCAACTCTCGCGAGAATAGGGTGGTACGATAGTATGCGAGCCGATAGTACTGGTACAGGACGAATTTTCGCAGGGTAGTTGTTAGCCAGGGTTGCGAGAAGTAGTACGATAGGGCCGCCAGAGAGAGTTTGACGGCAAATATAGAGTGGCTAAGGGACCAGGGAGCAACATAGTGAGCGTAGGGCCCTAGAGACTCGCTGCAATATTTCATCATTAGACTGACACGATGCTAGGGTTAGTCGTCTTTCTCTCTCTCTCTCACTCTCTCTCTCTCTATCTTTTTCTCTTTTTCTTTCTTTTTTTCTCTTTTGGTCTAGGGTTATACGAAACTCGTTACATGCGTCCGTGAACGTAATACGTTGCCAGTTACACCACATTGCCACAGGGATAGCTAGAAGATCGTTGTTATTGAATTCGTCAGCGTCACAAATAAAAACAAAGTTTATGGGTGGCCTGGACCATCTGTAGTAACACAAGTAGGGTGGAAATGAGTAGAAGTCGAAAAACGGGACTACGCCTGGGTACTTAACGATCAACGAGCGTGCTTACAAATGAGGGAAGCGTTTTACTCATTATATGAATAAAATTACAATATTTCCATGGAATATCTATTCGCCTGGTTCGTGTAATATTATTTTTTCTCAATTCATTTATTTTCTACTAATAATAATAATATTATAATCTCTGTGTTAACCAATGATTATTTTTTTATAAGCATTAAATAAAGTTCTTGTTAATAAAAAAAAAAAAAGGATCTCGAATAATACGATTTAATAATATCAAAATTTAAAAAGAAATTAATGGAAAATTGTAGAAGAAAAACAAATAAATATAGGAAAAGAAACTATTAAAGTGATTCTATATTTTTTTTCTTTTTATCTAATTTGAACCAAGTCAACTTCACGAGTATGTTTTGTCGTAAATCCGTGAATCCGATATATCTAGAAGTTACATGAAATGTATTTTTAACCTTCGCCGTACGAATGCGATCCACGATCCCTAAAGTTTATTGTATCCCGCAGAGAGCATTACAGGTCGTCCCAGAGCCGGGATATTATACAAGGAACGCCCCTACGCGATCATTCCGGGTCGAAGCACATTGGTTAGGGCACCCTCTTACCATCCTATTCGTTTTCTCTCTCTCTCTCTCTCTCTCTCTCTCTCTCTCTCTTTCATACTCTCGTTGAGCCTCAGATTGCGCTTGAATTAGCATAAATACCGCGAAAGGAGCATTCGACAAATTGAAGACCAGAACCTGAATATTGGCGAAGCCACAAATCATACTCTCTCTCTCTCTCTCTCTCTCTCTGGTCTATATACATACGAGTATTTTAACCAGTAAAATTGCTTCTGCATTACAAACGAAGTCGCTGAACGTAGCATTCATGGCAATAATTAAATCGGACGAAAATTAAAATTTTCACTCATTCGTCTGTCTATTATTTAAGCTCACCAATGAACATACTGCTTAAGTTACATTTTTCAACAGTACCGATTAATTATAGACCACGATAAATGTCCGAGTCGATTAATTATTCTCCACGATTTTAACTCACTGTCGGAACTCGTTTCATTTTATTGTTGCATATGCACGAACATTGGGGACCATAGACGATTCGTTAGTATATATCTACGTGACTTTACTGTTCTCTACATTGCTGGAACCGAGTTTGCCATTAAAGCAATCGTTATATCGATGAATCAAACCAGTACGAACGTCGATGTTAATAAAGTAACGTCATGCTTGCGTTTCGTTTATGATACCCATCAAGTAAACTCAACAGAATTGTACATTATGTCTTTTTCATGATACTATCTTCGAAATAATTTTCTATAGTTTCAATGAATCAAAATTGTTTATTGGTGTCATCGATTTAAATAATTATAAAAATAAACAATACGAGATCATGTAAGGTAGAGTAAATAAGTAGTATAAAATAGTGTAAAAGAATGTTACACAATTTTCTTCTAGAAATGAATAATACTTGAATATTATTTTTAAAAATATTGTATAGAATTAATGATAAAATGTGAAATGAAATTAATGAAAATTATTCGGAGATAAATTTTAAAATATTGTAATTTTCTTACTTTTAATGTTTCATATATTATTTCTCTGTATAACTATGTATTTATATTAAATTATACATAAATAACAAATTATATTCTGATAAATATATATTAATTTATTAATTGAATATTATCAAGATACGAATTGTATAAAGATGTATTTTTTTTACTTGGAAAAAATAAACAGAAATATATTATCGATAAATCAAACATAATATTTTTAAATATATCATACTCTCTTGACTGCATTATAAAACGGTCTCTCATCTTCAATAATTAATAACTATGAATCATGGAAAATAAATATATTTTAATAGAAAACACTAAATAGATTAATTTTGAATAATTTTCCAAAATGTTAAAGGGTCTTATCCGTAGGGACGAATGTAGTATAGCATAAATGCAAACTCACAAAGAGGTGTGATTGTACCTGATGATGTGGCCGGTTATTTGGATGGGGGGTTGGCATGTGAGCACCGTGATGGTAAACGGAAACCGGATCGTGTTTCAAAGGCATTGGAGTGCCAGCGTTGTGCTTTCCCAAATCCGCGGCTAAAGCTTCCGCCCTCGAAAGTAAGCCGTCTTGCAGACCGCTGTTCAAGCCCCCGAATAAGTCACCCTGAAACAGAAAGCGTGCCGTGCGTGACGGTAATTGAAGATGGGATTTCTTACATACGATCGATGGATAAGGACAAATACCTTTAACTAGATTCTTAAATTAGCCTTAGATATTTATAAGCATAAAAAACGACATAAGATAATTTTAACTTTTAATTTCCAAAAAAATATCAATCTTAAAAAGATTTAGATCTTCAGATTTTTCAAATAAAATTAGCGCGAGTAATATTTTGTATATATAACCTTTGATTTTCAAAATAATAAAAATATATTATATATAATAGAAAATTTTGCTATGTAGAATATTTTCAATGTTACTCGATCGATACATCGATCTTAAATTATTTTAAGTAATGGTATTTCCATGATCATGTCGTATAAATGATTGACGTACATAAATATCGGTACGTGTTACCTGTCAATTTAAGACACGTCATACGTGTATGTATACATAGCTTTTACCTACAAAATTTTGAATATCCGATCGAAGAAACATTTCTTTTATTTATCACTTGATTACGATGATCAGTGGGATCGATGTATTTCTTAAAATCAATTGCATTCTAAATAATATATTCAAATCCATAAACATTAAGTAAAACGTTAAACGCGATACGCAAATATGAATAAATATTATATGCATGTAATCCGTACATATCGTAGGATTTTTCATTCGCTTTTAAAACTATCCTATCGAACAGTATCCAGACAACAGACTGCTAGAGTATTCTGCAGCAGCATGGCCGTACACGATCGATATTCCGAAAATAGTTTCTTCTCCCGAGACTCAAAGTAGTCTACTACGAACTTCTTCAGACTTTCGATTTAGTATAAAATCGTTCCTTGGAATTTTAAAATAACGTCTTACTCTTTATTATCTTTAATTACATTCCAAATATTATCTAATAATATTAACTAAGATTTTGACTAACGAAAATGGAAATGATCGAAAGTCCACATAAATAAAATAACGAAACTGATGCGTTATCAGTAAAACTTTTATACCATCTTGTTAGTTATATTATACACAACAATATTCCAAGATTTCAGTAGAGTAACGCTGCGCGTTATAATAATATACGTAGGATTGTTGACACACTTTCGATGTCGTTAACACGTATCTACTAAACGGTAGATTTCATATTCATTAAAGGAAACGTATTCTCTCTATTCGAAATACAAATTGTACAATATTATCATAACGTTAAAGTGTAACGATATCAATTTAGTAATCGCATTCGCGACAGCACCTACCCCAGAATATTCGCTAATCGAATTCATTCGTCACAAGTTAGCCAGGAGTTGATCTGAAAGATGGACACTTAACCAGACGACCCATGGGATAGTGGACGGGACAGTCAACGGTGTTAGTTATGAAACTGGACGATAGCAATAAGGGTTCCTAGTCCCTTCTATGTATTTCCAAGTAGGACGATTCTAACCCTCCACAAAAGTCAATTTTCGATGCCAATGAAAATAGCATGAAACGGGAGGTGAGGAAGATTGTACATGTAAACACATTCGAATATATTTCTGAACATGGAAATAAGTATTAAAAAGGGTTATACGATATTATTATTTTTAGTTAATAATCTCGACGCTTGTTTAGTTGTTCTTTTTTTTTAATGGTATAAAAAAAGATCTTTACCTTCCAAAAATTATAGATTTACGTTTAAATTCAATATAATTAGAGGCAATATAAGAAATTCTAATCAGTCAGGATTACACGTGTTAACATAATCGAATTGATTTTTGCAATAAAGTAGTTTTTAAAAATCGTTGAAAAATATTAACTTTAATATTATTACTAAGTTTACTCTTAGGGAAGTTGTTTTTTTGGACGGGTTTAATTAAGATGAACACAATATTTATCCGTTGAACGTTTCGTCTCTATTTGAGACTTCCTCAGCAACTTGATAGTTATGTTCATAAGTCAATATAACATCATTTTTATTACAGTCATAAGTTTTCACTATCTTATAAATAGAGTCAATTTTTAAGAACGTTATTCTACTATAACTTTTCGAACACTACTGGTGTTCTTAATGAATTAACTTTAATGAACGTCTTCGAAGGAATATGTTGCTATTCATACTTAATACATAATGTCATCATGTTTATTGATTTATGTATCTATTGTCTGAGATCATTAATTTTGATTGTTTCTTACGAAAGGATGAGACGTAAAAGGGATGCACAGAAGCAGTATCCGACGTGGTATGATATACGTTATTTTTCTTCTGAACGTGAAGGGTTTGTTTCACCCATTTCGATAGGGGTTCTCTTAATAACGGTTATAAGTTGGATTCATGGTCGCTTTTTACACAGATACGCTTCTATAACGTAGCAATCGATATTATATGGGACATTTCGCGTCAACTACATCTGTCACTCGTGCCCGCGGAACTCGCAAGAATCGTACTTTGTTCGAAAAATATATGGCATTTTCTTTGACCAAGAATATATCAAATTCGAAAACATTACCTACGTTCAATTATTATTTTTTTGCTGTTCAATTAATCCCACGTAACACATAATGTTTACATTATCAAAAATCAAATAATAAAATGTGAAACTATCAAATATTTGCCAGACATTAACTAACAATTAATTTTAAGCGGTGAAATATGAAATATAATTTAACAAATATGGATTTATGAGTATATGATTATCATCTTACATTTATTTGCTTTTTTTATTTATCAACATAAAAGAACATTAATGACTCTTTTGGTGCAACGATTCTATAACTCAACACTTTATTTTTAAGAAAAGTCGTATTGTTTTTAATAAAACGATTCATTTAAGTTTTCGAGCACAAAACAATTGTAGAAATTAATGCTTCTGGGAACGTGACTACTAAAATGTATATTATGCGAATCGTTCGTAAAATGGGAAAAATTTATCGATAAAATACCTACCCTGGACGAACAAAAGCGTTTCATTAATAAAAGAAAACTGTTAACGTGAATGTAGTCGACCGCTCTTTTATCCAAAGAATTATGAAAAGTTTAACGCCATAAAGCGGTATTGCTGATTATTTTTGTATTTTATAACTGCATTGTTTCAAAACTCGTAGTCGCATTATTAAACTTAAATTGGGTACCAACTGACGTGCAGAAAATGAGTCTTCAATGTTAACCTCCCACTCTGTAGAATTTTATTAATAATTTAACACGTCGATGAAGTCAATTCCCATAACGTCGTTTCTATAGAGTTAATTGAAATTACCGATAGACAGAGATTATAATATTCTTTGTTTTCCTTTCCCTCTCTCTCTCTCTCTCTCAGCCTTCTTTCCCATCCTCTTTTTTGAAAATAACAAAAAAATTAATTTAATAAATTTCTATAGAATATTCATTACAAAGACAAATATTTCCTTTTTATATCTGTAAAATAATATTTTATATTTAACAATATTAAAAATAACATATAGATAATTTTTGTATAGTTACGCAAATATGAATAAAAATAATAATCACTCGTATTCTCTAAATTCACGTGAAAAGAAAGAACACACTTAGGTTCGAAAAGAACGAAATATCTCAAATCGACCTTGAAAATTATTCAAGTAGAAAAGCAATCGTTTAACGATTCTCGAAGACCTCATCAAAGTACGAGTATCGGTAACGAGGTCGAACCACGAAAATTTATACGTGGGAGTTATCAAAATATCGTTAGCACGATATGCTCGGTCGGACGGGGCCAAAGGTGATTCACTGCTCCTATATTCATTACGAGCGGTAACGTCCGCATTGCTCGATCAATGTTTCATGTGAAAACCACCGTCGTACTCTGGCGCTTCGATTATTTATGAACTTCTCGTGTCTTCGTCGGGTACAAGCACCACTACTACCTATATGCCCTGTTCGCTATCTCTAGGTTGCTGAACCGCCACCACTTTTTCTAATCTCGTGACGGCAGCCCCTTTCGCCGTTTCTCTTCCTTTCTCTTTCGATCATCCCTAGATATACTTCGATTCCCTTGTGACACCGACTCCTACAAACGCGAAAAAATGCGATTATTTGAACGACTCTTACGAATGGTAAGCTTTACACTTGAACGAATATATTTGCTAAACAAAATACAAATTAATCTTGCATAAATATTATCATTGTTCAATTATATAATAATCATTTAATAATACTTTATCAAAGATTATTTTAGAATAATCCCGAGAGAGATCAAATAAAGATCGCGATGAAAATTTCATTGAACCGAATAAATTCAAAAGATTGATAATAATCGATCGAAGGAAACTTAAGTAGCTATTTTTGTTGGGATTAGAAAAAGATCGAGGACTTCTCATTTGTTCGACAATCTATTTATCTAATCCGAATTGAGATATTACTCAGAAACTAACGATAAATGCTAGTCATTTGCGAGATAGACGTTGTGTTTGGTAGAAGAAAAAATGCCGTTTCTTCGTGTAAAGTGTTAACAGGGCGATAAATCGCGTAGGAGCTTCTGTTTCGTAAGTTTTTCTCCTTCTTCTTCTTGTTCGAATGGAAGGAAGGCTTGTTTAGGGGCGGCCAAAGCACCTGAGATGATCATACGTTCTCTCGAATTTCAGAAACGATCCTTTCTATCCAGTAAGATGCTATAATGTACAGAACGAGAACGATAGAGAGAGACAGATAAAGAGAAAAATAGAGAAAGAGGGTGAGATAGAGAAAAGGGGCAAAGATACAGATTGCTCTTGTTAAAGGACGTGGTTAACAGCTCGTAGAGTTGTTTAGCAAACTTTCTCTTCATCCCTTATCGCGTTTCGCTTTTCCACGTCGCCGCGGTTAATAGAGTCATTTTTCTGAGCTGCCTTTACAGGCAGGACCCCAGGCAACAACTAAATACGTCTTCTGAGTGGAGCCACCGTTAAGGATTAGCCAATTACAATTGAATTACCGCACCCTGTCGGAAGATGGAGCAGGAGTTAATTTATCGATGCCCCTTCTCTCTGATGTACACCCACAAAAGCAATTAAATCGACGATATACAACTTATTAAATAGATATCGTATCGTAATTATTTTCATCAGTTTTTCCAATCAAAAATTTCAATATTTTATCTTATAAATATTTATAATCATCATTAGCGAATAAAAGCTAATTTGCTATATCATCAAACTATTTTTAATTCAAACTAAGAACAGTTAGGTAGCTATTTTAATTATGATTGATCCATCTTCTTGGAAAATTAATCGTATGTAATTCAAACGCATTTAATTGATGTTGGTTATTGAAATTTGTTTACGCCTACCGATTATCGTATCGTGGAATTATTCGTTTGCCGATCGAACGATCATCAAAGTTGCATTAGAAGCTTCCGCTACGTTGTTATGCGTGGAATGAAAAGAGAAAGAGAGAGAGAGAGAGAGAGAGAAAGAAGAAAAGAGAGGCAAAAAAAGAGAGAGATAGCTTCCCTATTTATTTCCCATTTTTTTTTATCGTTTTTCTTTTCCAAATAACAAAAAAAGGTGACCATCTGCGGATATCATGTAACAGTTGAGTATTCGAGTATATTTACGTCATTAATTACCGATCGAATCGTGGTTACGCCGATCTGAATACGAAGTATACTCGGGACCGACGACTATCGGATATTGCAAATTGGGACGATTACGTTATTTCCGTCCGATAACCTACATCGCGGAGTAGTCTGAGCCATGAATAAATAAATTCTTCGAGAAAATCTGACGTCTGACACGAAAACAAGCAGACTGTTCAAATTATCACTTGCATGGCGGAGTACCTACTGTCTAGAAAGGAATATTATTCCACTCTTCGTTATAGCGCGTTCAAAATTTGCTTAACTTCCCCGTCTACCACCATCTCCGCCTCTGCATTCACTTCCAACTCCTTTTGATCCTCCTTCTCCTCTTTCTTTCCGAGTAAAAATCCAATTAATGAAAAATTTGGATTAACATCGAACTTGGTATCGAATAATAAAAGCTATTCTTTGTCTGTCTGTCTGTCTATCTGTCTGCCTATCTCTCTCTTGTTTCATTGCTGTCTCTATCTCTCTCTCTTCGTTTCTCTTCAATCAATACCCCGTAGCAAAAAGAAATTATAATTTATTTATATCTTCGCGACATTTTCTGAAAAAATTGAAAAAAAGAAAGAACAAAATATAAGACTCGAGATGATTATAGAAAAATTATTTTTCCGATTAGACGTGGCAAATGTTATAACAACTAAAAACAAAACGTAATTCTTTAGTCGGGAAAAAGAATAAATACAGCTTGTTAGGAATATACAATTTTTTCTATGTGTTTTTGACGAAGAAAAAAAAAGAATTAAAAAAGTTAGTCAATGGAATAAATTACGTTCAGGTGCAGGTGTCTATTACATCGATGGGAAGCATAAATAACACTTTGATCTTTTTATGACACTGAAACTATCCTCGTACAACCTCATCGTTTGTCTGAATAATCAATTTTCGGCCATAATCGTAACCACGAGATAGTAAGTTTATGCGTACCTTGCTATCATAACTACTTACGTGGTTTTGTAAGACATAAATATCATTTTGGCATTTTATACACGACGACAGAATTATCTGTCTTTCTATTATTTCTTTTGAAATTTCTATTTTTGATCTCAAGTTTCTTGACCAATAATAAATAAAGAATTTAAGAAATCAATCGTACGGCTGCTTATTTCGATTTATCTAAATTTTGTTACTACTTTTATTACGATAGTTAATATTGTAGATACAATTTTACGATTATAATAACGCCAAGATGCTATTTAAAGAACGAATCTCTCACTCCAATCAAAGGTTACATTTACAGTAAGTATAAAAAATGCTTATGTACATCATAGTTACCTATAAAAATGTATTGTAGATAATTTAAATTAATTATATTGAGACCATCTAATTCCTTTGTATATGATTTTTTGTTTAATTATTATTTATTTTAAACTTTTTGTAGTGTGTGTGTTATTCTTATGAATATATTGAATGAGAGGGATAGACAAAAAAATTGTATAAGAAATATAAAATATAACAAAAAAGTATGCATTTATAGAAAATTAAAACGAACAAATGAATACTTTTTATACCCGCTTCATATCATCGTTGATACGACTTCTTACGACCAACATTGAATAAAATTCATTATTAAAAATAAAACTACGCAAGAGAATATTTCGTCGAAAAAATAATTTCTTATTATTTGTTTACTTATATATATATATATATTCATATAATTTGATTTTCGTGCAATGATCCTTATTTAATATAAATCAAACATATTGCAAAGTAATTCGCGACAATGTCGAGCCAGTCGTTGTTCGTAGACTACGAACTAATTTAATAAATGAATAAAATGAACTAAATAAAAGAAAAGGAGAAAGCTAAAAGTTCGAACCATTTCTTTCTCCCACTTCTATTTATTTTCTCGCATATTCGCATTTCTTGTCTATATAGATATATATATTTCTTAATACAAATGATTAAAATACTCACATTATGCCTTGGTGACCAAGAATTGCACATTATGGATGCATCTTCCAATATACGACTCTGCAATATCAAAAATTTCATTTTTAAAGAACGTGGCATGTAATATGGACAAAAAAATTGATGATTGTCAAACATTATTCTTTCAAATAAAAAAAGAATTAAGAAAACACGAATAAAAGGAAACATTTTCTTTTAACGAAATTATTAGATACCCATATGTATGGTTAACAATGATTCCAACGAAAAATAGAATTTTGCCGTTGCTTTCGTAGAATCTAGAAACTGAAATTTGTTCAAAAAATACACCAGTCAAACGAATCTTTACAAGCCCATTACTAAATCTAAAGCTTCTCCCGATGTTCACTCTTCTCGAATATAGATCGACGTAACTGGTGAAAAAAAAGCATAGACAAGAGCTAAAAAAGAAGAAAAAAGTAAAAGAAAATTCCTCTATTCCGATAAAAATTACGAGCATCAACCCAATAACAAATCGATAAAAAAAATATGGCTCGAGGTAAACATCTCCAGTAGTTATCTTGAAAATCACATCGAACGACACAATTGCATATCCATCCGATTCGATTTATCGAGTTTGACGAATGATAGGTAGCGATAAATGCGAAACTATGTGCTGTAAAAAGCGAAAGGGAGAGAGATAAAGAGAAAAAGAAAAAAAAAACTTGCGTAGAACGATAGTCTCGGTGATTATTATCCTTAATGATGTTTAATATGAGTTTAATGACCGTTGCAGACGAAATATTTTCGATCGCAACGATTTTCGCAGAAGAGAACGCGAAGGATTTATCTGTCAACGAGACTTAATATTCATCCAATCTGCATATTTCATTTCCACCGATCGCATAATATGTATATTTAAAGCGAACAGTTAAGATTGACAGAATCGGGGCACACCGGCGTCGCGACGCCGTCGCAAATTAAATGAGTCATTTTTGGATACGCGCGCAGAACTAGGTAATTCAATATCGTCCTTATTAAAAAAGCGTCGGGTAATTCTCCATTCCCTGTCGTTCCCATCCCCCTTCCACCACACTTCCACTCCTTTCTACTCTTTCCTTCCTGCTACATCTCATTGCACTTGCTTGACTGATGACAATGATCGCGTTATTACAGTGAAACACATCACTTTACTGGATCAACGCAGCCAATCAACGGTGTCACAAACCTTCCAGACCATTCTTTGGGATCATCGACTTTTAGATATTTTGCTTTTTTTTTTTTTTTTCATTTTTATACTTATTTTATTTTTTTGATAAATTATAGTCTTCTTTTTATCATTATAGCCAATTTATTCATTCTCTATGCTAGAAAATTATCGATACTCATTATTGTTATTATAATTATTACCTATTTATGTTTCCTCAGATAGTTTAAAACTGGCTGATTAGACATTTGTGCAGATTAATACACATTACATATAAGATACGCAATAAAAAAAGTGGACTATTTTGTTTAAAGTGAAAATTAAATAATTGACTTTATCATTGTAGTGATTATTATTATTATTATTATTAGTCTTCAAGAAAAAAAAAATATAACTCAGTATGAAAAAAATATGTAATGCAAAATTTATTTACTTATCGTATTTTATTCTACCTACTTATGTTATCGTTTAAAGAAGTTGTTTATATCAACTCCTTCATTCCTACTGAATTTTTAAATAAACTTCGTCATGATTAAAAGTGTGTCACGATTCAATCTCTAAATTTTTATCCTACAATGTTTTGTTAATTCTAAATCTTGTCGTTATTTAAAATTCGACAGTAGTAATCAAGGTCTTATTATAAATTTCCGGATATCGGATTCATCTTCCTATAATTTATAAACAGAACTCTATTTTAATTAGGTTATTCGAGTAGAGAGTTTTATATTCATTTAAATGGGGAATAAGTAATATCTCATGCTAGAATAAGCGACTGTTTATTTTTCTCTAAATCTAATAAAAATAATAATAATAATAATATTTTAATATCGCACATCGTATAGACATTTGCATCGCACTGTCGATGATCCCTTAACATATCTCGGAATAATTTTCAATTTGAAATAGACCGACAGAATTGTCATATCGCGTGACGTTTCCGAGGATGTCCCTTGAAAGCAGGATAGAAACTGACAAGAGGAATAGGATAGGGTGATTGTCAGGGACGCGTCGTGTTCCAGGCTTTACGAATTTTCCATCTCATAGTGGTTTTACCCTTTATCTCTACCGATCTGATATAGGGTTCACTATGATCTTCTGAAAATATTACTTTAAAAAAAAACAAAAAACAGTACGTAGAAAATACGCAACCCTTTTCATGTAATATTAATTTTCTTTTTCATTTATAGAAAAGATAAATATTATATATCCACTTATAAGTAATTATTAAGAATGTGGAAAATATATTATAATTATAACATAAATTGATAATACAAAACTACATTAAACATCAATATATTTTAATTCTACAAATACTTGTTTTTTCAACTAATAACAAACAAAATCTTAAAAGGAAGAAAAATCAACTGATAAATCATCTTAATAGTATACATTGCAGGCTTTTTATGATCTAGTAGATAGAACTTGGCAACGGCCGTATCTAAAGTCACGATAATAATCTACAAATATTCAAAGAGATCGTACAAACGTGTTTCTCCATCTTCTACGAACTAACGAACGAATCATACACACGAAAATGTATATACCTTAACCGAAGTATATTTATATACCTACACCTACACGTTTCCATATATGCATGGATAGATCATAGATCCCTCGTGGATGTTTATTTGTATGTGTATGTGTGTACGTATGTACTTTAGTACGCGTTGTATACATTGACGGTAAATACGAAGGTCTATCTAATCGTCAGTATGTGTATATCTATTCTTATACACAACGAATGTGTATATACATACATACATATAATGCTGTCTGTTAGTCATTACAAGTACATCTATTTGCTACATATACATATATATATATATATATATATATATATATATATACATACATACATACATACATACATACATACGTATGTACATGCATACGATAGAAAGCATAGGACAGAACACTCGCGAGCGAACAAACAGCCGCGACCGGATCAGTTAGCCCGGCTAATTGATTTTCCTTCGCTGTAGGAGTTGGTAGTAGTGGCACACAGTATTGCAACGCACGCTACAATATTGGGAGACGGTGCCGCGCACAACGGTCAAATCCAATCGGAAACTCCCGTTTGATTATCAGAGAACATGCATGGCCGATTGTAAATCAACCACAATCGTGTTTGGGAATGATTCCCGATCCTTTCCGAATACGACGAAATCCATTCTCTCTCTCTCTCTCTCTCTCTCTCTCTCTCTCTCTCTCTCTCTCTCTCTCTCACTCCCTCTGTTTTCTTCTCTATCTTTATCTCTATCTCTATCTTTATTTGATAAATGATTTGTTCTTTCTGATTTTAAGCCTGTGACAACAATAGTTGAATCAATATTCTATCATAAATTAAAATAGTATTTATATAAATAATTCCTTATATTTTTTGATTACGTGTAAAGATTTATATTGCAGATCTAAATCAAGGAAAAATTAAATTGAAATTATTTTTCAGAAAATATTTATAACATAATATATTCGTATTGTACTATAGACACTTAAAATTTTCAGATAAATCATGGTATTTACAATGTAACCGGCACATCCGAAATTCGAAACGATCGTCGTGCATATTCCGGCTGTGAGAGACGAGATCAATCAGTAAATTCGGCCATTCCCTTGTTTAACCATGGTAGAATGGTGCGCTGGTGCAGCCGCAACAAAAGGTGCTTCTCGTCGATAAATCCAATCCGAAACTCACGATTGATTGCCAGGAAATACATCGATAGAGCTCCATATTATATGTTCTGTTACGAATACCAGTATACGTTTCCGAATTTCATCACTTTTATGTATTATATTTACATACGCTGCTATATATAACATGTATATATGTATATATATTTCGATGATTTATGTTAATGTTAATATTTCACTTTTACTATTTGAGTTAAAGCATTATATAAATCTATTTATTTAAATTATTCTAAATCTTAAATAAATTTTGGGAAGACTAGACTCTCTCTGTCGATTAATAAATAAATTTGGAAGTGATTTATTCGAAGTACGAATTACGAATACTACGTTTCAGGCTCAATCAAGTTTAAAATGGAATAAAATAAAATATCGAAAAAAAAACACTCAAGAAACGATCTTCGATCGGTCAGAGGTTCCTGAGAAAGTTCCCTTCGTTGGAACTTCAGCTGATAATTATCTAAATTTACCAGGGACCTGGGAGTCAAAGTGTGAAGTCGTGTTCAAAATCTTTCTGCACTTTGGGGCTCTCATCCGCCGGTTAATAACAAATGAGCCGGGCTACGTCTCTCCTCACTTTTGTTATAATCGGACATACTTGCCCTCTCCCAGGTACTGTCAACCATTCTATATTATTCAACGTACTCATTTGAGCCATTCTAAACACCTTTCAAAGTTTACTTTCACTTTATCTTTCTAATCCATGTTTTCGTCGTTAACTTTTCTTCAGTCAATTATTGAAACCAACTTTTTTTAAACTATTCGTATATTTACTTAATAAGTATATTTACGTAGTACATAATATATAATAACTTTGCTTTTTTACTTTTGTACGATATTATGAATCAAATATAGTTACATGTATATATCAAGAAAGGTCCTGTCGTCGTGTGAGATTTTTATAATAATACTAATTGACAAAAAGAACATTTCTTTTTAATGCCAAGATCACTATTACGTTTTGAAATTGAACTATTGTGTGTTTTTCTTAATAATAATGTAGAGGACAATAAAAAAAATTCAATGAATTCCAGCAATGTTATTCTAAGTAAGAAATTTCATTATCCGATTTTCTATTTCAAGAAAAAATAACAATGTAACAAAATTTCAAGTGATAAAAAGAAACACAGAAATTGTTTTTATAATAATTTCAATTATACTGAAAAAATAAACCAATCAAATTGTGAGCACGGTTTTTTTAGTATGTAAC